AGTCCACGAGAAGAAACAGGATATTGCCAACAAAACTCATATTGAGAGAATGACATTGAAATTGTGCTGCATTTTTATTTCAGTCTCTCATCTAACAGAAGATGCTGAATAACAAAAGAATACTTGATATTGTGGAAACCCAAATAAAGGCCTATTACTATTTGATGTGAATCAATGAGGCCTGGGGTATAGTATGAGCTAAAGTATGGAAAATTTTAAAGGTACAAAGGAACTATTTGTAATCATGTCAGAACGTTACTGGAACATGTTGATTTCGAAAATAAAGAAAGTTTCATAAATATGTTTGGAAACCAACAGTTGAGGCCAGGCAGGGATGGGCTCCTGGGGGTTTGGCAGGGTTTGGGCGATCCTCTAGCCAAGGATTGCCAGGGTTCGGCAAAACTCCAAATGCCACCCCTAGCTGGCCATGGCCACCCCGCTCCTCCCCTCCCCTCCCAGGAGTCTCCATGTGGCCTGTTCATCATTCCAGGTAAGTGCAGGGGCCACGTGGAGGGTCTGGGAGGGCAAAAGATGGGCCTACCAGAGGTTCCAGAAGCCCAGAAATGGGCCTGTTTCTGGCCTCCGGATGGCCTCTGGAGCCCGGGGGGAAGCTGCTTTCGCCCTCCTGGAGGCTTGAGGAAAGCCTCCGGAGCCTGGGGAGGGCAAAAAATGCACCCCGATGGTGCAGGCGGCCGAATAGGCCATGCCCACCATGGCCATGTCCACCCAACAACAGGGCAGAGAACCCATTGCTAAAGGATCTGAAGCCCACCCCTGAGGCCAGGGCAAATGAGGAACTGCGAATGGCAGGTATTGGAAAGTTTCCAATGTACATGGGTACATGATGAAAACTGATGGTCAGCAAGAGAACAGGGAAGTGAAATTATGAAATGAAGGTGGACGTTGAAAGAAAAGTATAAGACATGTGGATAAACATCAGAGCAGGGCCCTTTGGCCATAGCTATCATTCGGACCTGCTATGTCTTTTGGACCCCATTGCAATGGTTTACTGATGTGAGTACACTGTTACTGTTATATTCTTCACTCATTTCTTATATTTTCTCTGTGGTAAATTGTTAGAATTAATATACTTCTGATTCCAAAGCAAGAATCGTTGTTTGTTGTTGCCGACTCTGTTTTATCATTGTATTTTTATGACAATATTAAATGTTCTGCTTTATTTCTCCTTTGATTTTATCCCAGGAACAATATCAGAATGATATCTAGTAGGGGAGCCAAGATTGAAGAAGACACATGTCATCCATAGGGGTGAGAAGGATACACAGACACAGACACAGACACAGACACAGACACACTCACACACACACACACACAGAGAGAGAGAGAGAGAGTGCCTGTCTATCTGTCTGTCTGTCTCTCCCCCCCCCCCCCGTTGAGTATTCCAGTTGAGCTACTGTATTTAAAATCCTAAAAGATGCTACTGTTAAAGTGTTGCACTCAGTATGCCAACAAATTTGGAAAATTCCACAATGAACACAGGATTGAAAAAGATCATTTTATGTTCCAATCCCCAAAATGGGCAATGTCAAAGCCTGTTCAAACTACTGTACATTTGCACTTATTTCCCATATTAGTTAGGTCATGCTCAGAATCCTACAAACTGGGCTTCAGCAGTATCTGAACCAAAAACAGAAGTGCAAGCTGAGTTTTGAAGAGGCAGAGAAACTAGAAATCAAATTGCCAATGTTCACTTGATTATGGAGAAAGCAAAATAGTTCCAGAAAAAAAAAATCTACTTCTGCTTCATTGAGTATACTAAATTCTTTGATTGTGTGGATCACAACAAACTCTGCTTACAGTTCTTAAAAAGATGGGAGTACTAGGCCATCTTATCTGAGTATTGAGAAACCTGCATGTGGATCAAGAACAACAATTAGAACTGGACATTGTCAGTTTTGGAAGCCATATTAGACCGGAAGTTTCCACGCTGCCACTTTCTCGTGTGTGGGAAAGTAGGAGGAGGGATTTAGTAGAGGGAATGTAGTTAGACAAAATAGCATTCTTCCTTTTGGTCAAGGTCGGGACAATCCTGCATCTGGAGAAGGAGTGGTTGGAGTGATGTCTCGAGATGGGATGGATAGTGATTGGACCATGTGATGAGCTGATGAGTGAGGGGATGGTTTTGGGGGTTTTGATTTACTGAAGGAAAACCCAGAACTCTGAGATTCAAGTTTTCCCAGATATGTCAGTACACCTAGTCTAATAAATGGAACTTTGAGAAAGTTTTGCCTTTCTTGGAGTTTTTAATTGGAACGCTGACAGACATGAAAGAACTGATTGGTTCAAAATACGGAAAGTAGTAGTATTGTTACCCTGCTTATTTAACTTATAGCAGAGTATACCATGCAAAATGTCAGTCTGGATGAATCACAAGCCAAAATTAAGACTGCTGGGGAAAATATCAACAACCCCAGGTATATAGATGGTATACAACTCTAACAGCAGAAAGTGAAGAGGAACTGGCTTGAGTTAAATTTTAAATTGATTTTAAATTGGGTTGTTTTAATTTACGGCCAAAATATTTAATTATTTTAAACTGTTTTTAAATTTTGTATGTTCTGTTTTTTACTTTGGCTGTTCACCACCCTGAGTCCTGTTTGAAGAAGGGTGATATAGAAATGGAAACAAACAAACAAATAAATAAATAAACTAAAGAGTCTCTTGATGTGGGTGAAAAGTTGGATTGAAACTCAACATGAAAAAACCCTAAGATTGTGGCATCTGGTCCCATCACTTCCTGGCAAATTGAAGGGGAAGCAGTGAGATTTTTTTTCCCCTTGAACTCCAAGTTCAATGCAGATGGTGACTGCAGCCATTAAATTAAAAGATAGATGATTTTTTTCCCCCTTGGGCTCCAAAATCATTGCAGATGGTGACTGCAGCCATGAAATTTAAAGACAATTGCTCCTTGTGAGGAAAGCTATCGCAAACCTAGCATATTAAATAAAGCAGAAACATCACCTTGCCAACAAAGGTCTGTATTGTCAAAGCTATGGATTTCCCAGTAGTAATATATGGCTGTGAGAGTTGGACCATAAGAAAGGCTGCGCCCTGAAGAATTGATGCTTTCAAATTGTGGTGTTGGAAAAGACTCTTGAGAGTCCCTTGGATTGCAAAGAGTTCAAATCAGTCAATCTTAAAGGAAATCAACCCTGACTGTTCTTTGGTAGGACAGATACTGAAGGTGAAGCTCAAATAATTTGGCCACCTAGTGAGAAGAGAAGACTTGTTAAAAAAGACCCTGATGTTGGGAAAAAGTGAAGGCAAAAGGAATAGAATAGATTAGAAAAACAGAGTTGGAAAGGACCTTGGAGGTCTTCTAGTCCAAGCCCCTGTTTAGGCAGGAAACCCTACACCACTTCAGACAAATGGTTATCCAACATCTTCTTAAAAACCTTCCAGTGTTGGAGCATTGACAACCTCTGGAGGCAAGTTGTTCCATTGATTAATTGTTCTAACAGTCAGGAAATTTCTCCTTAGTTCTAAATTGCTTCTCTCCTTGATTAGTTTCCACCCATTGCTTCTTGTCCTGCCCTCAGGTGCTTTGGAGAATAGCTTGACTCCCCCTTCTTTGTGGCAGCCCCTGAGATATTGGAACACTGCTATCATGTCTTCCCTAGTCCTTCTTTTCATTAAACTAGACAGACCCAGGAGAAGGGGACAGCGGAGGATATGATTGTTAGATAATCTCTTTGATGCAGTGAACATGAATTTTGGCAAACTCCAGAAGACAGTGGGGGACAGGAGGTGTCTGGCATGCTGTGGACCATGGGGTCACAAAGAATCAGACACAACTTAGCTACTGAACAAAATGTGTGTGTGTGTACACAGCTATATCTATTTAGTCATTTCACATCTGAAGACTATCTAATCCTTCAGTGATCCTGAATTATAGAAGAAATGACTAGGTATATGTATTTAATTTAATTTAGAGACTGCCTGACTCCATGATTCTGGACACCTTCCAACTTAAAAGGTAAAAAAAAAAAGTTCATGCTCATCTGAAGAAAAGAAAAACCACACACCAAAAAAAAAAAAAAAAAAAAACCCAACAGGGATTCAACAACCACCTTTCCCCAAGGTATGGGTTTCTCCAAGTCAGGTTTTCAAGGTTTTACAGAATCTCATCAGGGTGAAAGCTGTATGGATTTCTGGGGGAAGGCTGTTCCAGAGGCAAGCAAGCACCCAACAGAGAGGGAACAATATCTAGATCCAAAAGATGATATTGTTGAACAAAGGGATCTAGAGCAGGTGTCTCCAACCTTGACAACTTTAAGCCTGGAGGAATTAAATTAACTGTAAGCCTCCCAGAATTCTGGGTTTTGAAGTCCGCCAGGCTTAAAGTTGCCAAGGTTGGAGACCCCTGATCTAGAGCATACCCATAAATATATGACTATATGTATCTATCATCTAAGGATGCGGTGGCTCAGAGGCTAAGATGCTGACTTGTTGATCGAAAGGTCGGCAGTTCAGCAGTTCAAATCCCTAGTGCCATGTAATGGGGTGAGTTCCCATTACTTGTCCCAGCTTCTGTCAACCTAGCAGTTCGAAAGCACGTAAAAAATGCAAGTAGAAAAATAGGGACCACCTTTGGTGGGAAGGTAACAGTGGTCCGTGCACCTTTGGTGTTTAGTCATGCCAGCCACATGATCATGGAGACGTCTTTGGACAGTGCTGGCTCTTTGGCTTTGAAACGGAGATGAGCACTGCCCCCTAGAGTCAGGAATGACTAGCACATATGAGTGAGGGGAATCTTTACCTTTTTATCTATCATCTCTCTACACACTCACACACACACACACACACACACACACAGAGAATATTCTTTTTTTCTTTGTATAAATGTGTGTCCTTGGTTTAACAATGAACTTCTAAACCTAAACCTTGAGAAACTGAATACTTTTCTTTGCAATTCATTCATCCTATCAAACAATGTACTACAATACAATAAAAAGAGTACTGCTAATTTATTTTGAAGTCAATGGCTCACATATCCACATTTTATCCATTATATGCATTAAGAACCAGTATTGCTAAGTATAACAGACCGTTGTTTACAGAAGAAAGAGTGGTAATCTGACTTCACTGATCCACTGACCTTTGCTGTTGGAGCTGTGCAAATCTATGAAGGTCACTCTGTTTTCATCAAAGTTTAGTCAAGGTTTTTCACTGAAGTATAAAGTTGAAGTATATTTCTAGGAGTAGAAACAGAGCTTTAAGCCAGTAAGAATGTGTTGTTGTTGTTTTTTTTCTGAGGTAAGATGCTCCATCTTGTGACTATTGGAGATTAGCTACACATGATTCGCCCTGTCTAATAAAGAATTGTAAAGCAGTTTTGTCACATGCAAAATTGCAGAAAACAAATAATGGTGACAGGTGGGGAGATACAGAAATGGGCAGCTTTACTGGTGGTATAATAAAACAGAAACAGACACATAAACACACACATCCAATTCCTTTGCAAAGAACTGCTGGTTCTGAATTTAGTATGGAAAGTAACTAATCTATTTAAAATCATATCAATAACAAGTCTCCAACCTTGTGTAAAAAAAAAAAAAAGAGCAGGGAGAGGCAGAGAATAAAAAGAAGGGAAACCTTGCAATGAATAGCTCTCAAAGAGGACTCTTTCTCTTAAATAATATTAAATTAATTTAGCAAGCCAAGGAAGACTGTTTTCACTGTGAACTGCTGTACTGTCCTTCTCAGTAGTGGTTTTCACTTACCTTCACTACCGGTTTGGAACTGTGAGCTCACATGTGGTGCTTCTGCGCATGCGGAGAGAGTCCATGATGACATCCGGGTGGGTGGGTGGAGCCTCCTGCCACTGCCGCTACCAGTTCGCCCGAACTGGGGTGAACTGGTAGAAACCCACCACTGGTCCTTCCCAATGTCTATTTTTTCTTTAAATTCATCAGCGATGAATTCAAGCACCTGTAATAAAATTTGGAAAGATGCAGAAACCTTGTACTAAATCCAGCATTTTCCTTTCCTCTAAATTCAAATAGTAAATATTCCAAAGTTAGACATACTGACAAAGATCAGTATACAAAGAAATCCTCACCAAGATTAAGCTGGGAAATTAGAATAATTAAAATGCAACACTGATCTGTACACTAGTCTAAATGTGACCAAACCATTCTCAACCCCTCCCCCAAAATTCATAAAGAATTATAGGTATTATAATTCACAAAGAATTATAGTGTACAGAGAAGCACACTCATGTCCTTCAGGTGCTTTGTATTTCATGTTGATTTTGTAATATTTATTATTTTGATTTATCTCTTGCCTTTCTGGTACTGGGGAATAATATGTGTAATGACACATTATGCTAGGTTGCAAAACACACTGAAATATTACATTAGAGGTGTTGGATTAAGACACTTATGCATTATTAAGAAAAATGGTAACTGTTGCAGAAACCAGCACAAAATGAATTTAAGAATATAAAAACAAACAAACAAAAAAGGTCAAAATTAAATTAACATCATTCTCTGGCTTCCCATCCTTTTTCACTAAGGTAAAAAACCCTGCCATGTTTCCAATTCTATTTTTGCCCTCCCCCACTTCCCCTGGGTGGGGGAAAATTAGGTAAAGGTAAAGGTTCCCCTCGCACTTATGTGCTAGTCGTTCCTGACTCTAGGGGGTGGTGCTCATCTCCCTTTCAAGCTCAGCATCTTAGCCTCTGAGCCACCGCATCCCTCTGGGAGGGAAATTAGTGATAGTTTAATCTATTATGCTATTAGAGAATAGTCATGCATTTCCAAAATAAAATTCATTACTTTCCCCTATAGTATTTCTATTTGTGTAGGTGCTAAGCATGGTAGAAAACCCATTTTTCTCACAGACCTGTAGGTTAAAGGTAGGCTGGAGAGAGGGACCACATGTCCATTTTCATCCCTTTGACAAAACTAACATGGTGCCTCCTAGTGGTCACCATAACTTAAGATATCACATTGATTGTAAAAATAAGAGAGATTTTTCATCACTCCATGGAGTGGTGGTAGAAGTCATGTAATGGCCCATACATAGTGTCATAACATTATATAGAATGTGTACTGTATGTCTCTGTCTGTTTAAGGCAGGGGTGTCAACAATGGTAGGTTTCAAATTATTTTACTACTGGTTCTGTGGGCGTGGCTGGGTGGGCGTGGCATGGCTTGGTGGGTGTGGCTTGGTAGGGGAAGGATAGTGTAAAATCTCTATTCCCTCCCCAATCCAAGGGAAGGTTACTACAAAATCCGCATTTCCTCTCAATCAGCTGCGACTTGGGAAGCAGAGAATAGACGGGGGTGGGGCCAGTCAGAATTTTTACTATCGGTTCTCTGAACTACTCAAAATTTCCACTACCGGTTCTCCAGAACTGGTCATAACCTGCTGAAACCCACCTCTGGATGTCAAACTTGATTTCATTGAGGGCTGCATCAGGGTTGTGTTTGACCTCAGGGGGCCAGGGTGGGCGTGGCCAGGGTGGGCGTGGCCAGCTCAATGTCACTCGTGTTGTAGGCGTCTCTGGTGGCCTGAGTGCTCTGCCAGCTAAAATGAGCTCCCAAGCTCCATTTTCAGCTGTGATGGCTTCCTGCAACCCTCCATTTTCACTGGCAGAGGCACTGCAGACCGGTCCTTTGCTGTTTCCAGGGCAACCCTGCAGGCCAGATCTAAGCACCCAGATCTGGGCCCTGGGCCTTGAGTTTGACACCCCTGGTTTTAGGGAAGGAAGGCTGGATATACCATTCTGATAGCTGAGATTGAAACTGAATAAGGATGAACTAGACATCCAATGAGATGCTGTGATAAAAATAGACCAGAATCTGGATCTCCTGATTCTAGTCCAATCCTGATAAGAACCTGGTTTCTTAGTCCAACACACAGTGGTTCCCTTCTGGAGTTTGTTAAAAGCTAATTTCAGCTTTGAGTTAGAATCTATGAAGCAACAAAATTTCTAACAAGTCCATCAAGTGATTCAGTCTATAAATAAAAGTGCCAGGCTCTTCAAACTCCTAATCCCTGCTTTTAAAATGTGTGTAATGCCTTGTTAAATATGAGCTGAGTAAAAGCTCATACTTCTTGTACTCCTAACTGTGGCAATTGTTCAAAAAGCAATAGCAATAGCAATAGCACTTAGACTTATCTACTGCTTCATAGTGTTTTTATAGCCCTCTCTAAGCAGTTTACAGAGTCAGCATATTTTCCCCAACAATCTGGGTCCTCATTTTACCCACCTCGGAAGGATGGAAGGCTGAGTCAACCTTGAGCCAGAGAGATTTGATCTGCTGAACTTCAGCTAGCAGTCAGCTAGCATATATAGCCTGCAATACTGCACTCTAACCACTGAGCCACCACGGCTCTCAATCAAACTGTAATGGCTGGAATAGCCCACCATCCTACAGATAGCAAAAGGGTCTTTCAATCTATTGGCTTCTAGCATTGTTTTCACTCCAAAGCAACTGCAGGAGAAGACAGACTTGTTAGCATGAGAAAGTAGGTGAGCTTTGCTAGTCAGTGGATTCCCCCCCTCCCCAATTTTGAGTAACTGGATTATCTGCCTAGACATGACACTCGGTATAGAGAACAGCATCCTAATCCCCTGAATTTTGACCACTGCTGAGTATGTTGGCATTGATTTACATTAAGAGCAATTATAACTAAAGACACATAGAAGGTGAACAGAGCTCTTGTGGTGAATTCGCTAAATCATTAGAAAGAGAGGGGCAGATATTAGCTAGCAACCAATGTGTCAGTCCCTATTATTGATTTGCTTTTAAGATTAGTTTGCTTGTCTTTTTGCTACAAGGGAAGGGGCTTGTTTTAAAACCCATTCTTAAGAATATGACTCAGACAAGTGGATTTATAAAATAAAAGCCAGTCTATCAGGAAGGGCCTCCAAATACGATCTCCAACTATTACTATTTCAGGGCAATAGATTAAATAAAATGGAAGTCAGCGCTGTGAGTAATATTTCTAACCTTTGATAGTTAATCAGAAGGCATCTGAGTGTTACCTGTTCCTATGTTATTGTTATTACACCAACAATATTTTCAAACGAAAGTATTGTGATAACATCTATGCCTGGAAGGAACTACATTGCAATGTTAAAATGCCCCTTCTACAATGCTTAATTTACAATATTTCTGGACTGGCTCTGTTTGGTCAATGAAACTTTGGTCATTGATCATTCGTGATCAATGAAACTTGTAAACCTTGGCTTATTTGCATATTTGCTTTTATCTAGTACATAAACTTTCTGGACCAGACCATCAATATTTAGTCTGCCCACAATGCTGGACCTTTCTGAACATGCTGTAATTTTGAGGCTTTAGGGTATAAAATACTGAATATCAGATTTGAAAGGGACTTTGAAGGACTTCCAGTACAATCCCCTGTATAAGCAGACCACCATATACAATTCTAGACAAACAACTGTCCAATCTCTTCTTTAAAATGTCCAGTCATGGAGCACCCACAACTTCTGAAGGCAATCAATCCCATTAATCCCATTGATTAATTGATCTCATTGGCAGGAGATTTCTCCTTAATATTAGGTTGGATCTCTCTAATGATCTTCCACTTGTTATTTCTTGTCTTGCCTAGTGCTTTGGAGAATAGATTGATCCCTCTTCTCAATGACAGTCCCTCAAATATTGGAAGACTGCTATCATGTCAGTCCTAGTCCTTCTCATCATTAGACTAGTTCCTGCAACAGTGCATCGTATGTTTTAGCCTTCAGCTCCCTAATCATCTTTCTTGCTCTTCTTTGCGCTCTTTGGAGAGTCTCAGCATCTTTTTGTATCATGGTGACCAAAACTGGTCTTGTTTTATTATTTTTTTATTATTATTTAGTTTGTTCAGAGCACTTCTCCAGCCTGGGAGCTCAGTTTTCCCACTTTAAGTTGTATCCATAAGCCTCACACATAATGCCATTTAGAAAGAGAGGATGTGGACCAGTGGTGGGTTTTTACCGGTTTGCCCTGGTTTGGGTGAACTGGTAGTGACGGTGGCGGGAGGCTCTGCCCACCCGCCCGGACGTCATCATGGACGCTCTGTGCATGTGCAGAAAGTTCTGCACACACGCATGCTCACAGTCTCAGCTCCTTGTCCCGTTCGGCACAGAGACAGCATAAAACACAGCCGGACACATCAACTGAATGGTGAATGCTGGTTTAATGCTTTCGTCAGATACGAGACAACGCCAAGCTACAAAGTCTTTCAAAGTTGGCGCTACGAGCATTCGCCTCATAGCACTTTATATCTCTGCGCCCCACCCCTCATTACTCCCCTTCGTAATGATCGGGCGTTGTCCCATCAGCTGCATCGTTGTAGTTTGGGATCGCGTTTCCGGCGTTCTTCCTAGTGCCCGTAGTTATCCTAACCCGACGCCCTTCCACCCCCTCGTGTGTCGCCTTGCCTATAACCCGTGCCACCTCCACCGCTACGTCTTGCTGCTTTGCCATAGAATGTTGTGAGTAATATCCTCCACCAGTCCTCCACCGTTTCTCCTTCCTGTCCCCTCCGTATGCCGAGCACACCGGGCTCGACACACAGTCCCAAACCGGTAGCAAAGGTTAGTGAAAATCACTACTGATGTGAACTATCAAAATTCCATCTTATTATTTAATTATTTATTTATTCATTTATACCCCACCTTTATTATTTTTACAAACAATCCAAGGTGACAAACATATCCAATAAATCTTCCTCCTCCTGTTTCCCCATTTATGTGGGGTGAGTTGGGCTGATAGAGTGATTGGCCCAAGGTTCTCTCAGTCAGCTGTCATGGCTAAGGCAGGACTTGAACTCATAGTCCTGCTTTGTAGCCTGGTGCCTTAACCACTAGACCAAACTGGCTCCTTTTTTAAATGCATACAATCCTCAAAAAACAGCAAAGCGATACTCAGATAGAGCTTTGATTGCGCCATGGCAACTGCCATCTTGATTTTTTTTAAATCACAACCTGCAGAGTTTTTGACCCCACAATGTAAACACTACTGCTTTAAGAAGAGATTGGACAACCATTTGTCTAAAATGGTATAGGATTTCCTGCCTGAGCAGGGGGTTGGACTAGAAAACCTCCAAGGTGCCTTCCAATTCTGTTATTCTGTTAAT